CTTGCAATTGTAGTGTATTGATCTGTACTATCTATTTCCTTTGTTTTCCAGGCCGGTCTCACACAAGAGTCTCCATCTGTAGATGGTTTGCAGAAATATGCGAGCATAGTGATCACTAAAAATATTGAGAGCATATATGCATGTGGAGGTTGATTACTACATTATGTGTTCCTGTTGTTTGAAAGTTCATGCACTTATTATATAGCTAGGATACCTCTTATTTGTATTAGAATTTTGAGTTAATATAGCTAGGATACCTCTAATATATATTAGAATTTTGAATTATGGCTATGATACCTCTGTGTTCAATGTTCTTTGAAGATTCACATTGCTTTGAAAGTGTTCAATGTCCTTGGAAGATTCACATTGCTTTGAAATTTAGTTCTGTTTTTACTACGAATATGCATTGAAAGTCATATTCTTATCCGGTCATATGTTCTCCACAGTGCATGAGGGAGACGTGAAAGCAACCTTACTTGGAGCTATCCCGAAAATGTTGAATTGGATTCATCAGTTCAGATATTCGAAGGTGCACCTTTATTTTCCTATTTATGATTCTTTCTTGAATTTTGCATGGATGTTATATCATTGTTTCCTTAGATGGAGTTAATTTCTCTGGCTACTCCTCTGCTTGGCTGTTCTTCAGATATTTTTCTAGTTGTCCCGCGTACATATTTTACTGCGTTATGCTCTTATGATGTGTTGGACTTGTTTTCTCGTGCATGTGTTTTTCTTGATATTTTCTGTTATGCCGCCTTTCACTTACAGACATCTAACAACAAATTTTATAATCATGCTTGTACTGCAGTCATATATATATATAATTAATAGTGTGTGAGTGCCATCTCATAAAATCTTTGAAGGGAGTTTGTGCATGCTTTTCTTCTATCTCTGATTTTGTCCCCTTAAAATTCATGGTTTCTAGTAAATCTATAGGCAGAAACATCTTAAACTCATGGCATGGTCATTATTAACAGGACTCAAGGATATCAAATGTTGATTTTGGTTCTACCAATGGGCAGAAAATGGTTAAGATATCAGAGGTGAAGAGCTCTTCCTACGCTCTCCCTTTCTGTCTTCTTAAGATTTTATTTATTTCAGGTGAAAAATAGAACCGATTTGTTGGTTCAGAAATCAGAAGTTTTTGACTTTGCTGTTTCTATCGGAAGCATCCTCTTTGAACCAAGCCCATATTGTGACACCTAAAATTGCGTAAAATGTTTGTTTACTTTATGTAATCTCCTCTACTGAGACTTTTATTATGTATTTAAGAAAATTTTCTTACCTCAGGTAATTGATATTGAGGAGATGTCATGGGCCCCTAAATATGGTTTGAAAGGGATGATTGATGCTTCAGTAAGAGTGATAGTTGAATCTGACATGAACACAGTGCATGAGAAAATAATGCCCCTTGAGTTTAAATCTGGAAAAGCTCCTAATGGTCAGGTCCGTATGGAGATCTATCTAGATATTTGGTGGAAATTTTGAAAGTTCTGATAGCTTATTAAATACTAAGTGCCTGATCTTTATTGTGTTATATGCAGTCATCGATGGAACATTGTGCACAGGTGATCTTGTACACACTCCTTATGTCTGAGAGGTGCTTATGTGCTACCTTTCTTTCTTGTCTTTGCTGGTAAACGGACAGCAGTTAACATTTTTCGTTTATATCTGACATTTTCCACTTTGCAGGTACCTGAAGCATATTGACCATGGCCTTCTGTACTATCTACAGTCAGATCAGACTCAGGTAAATCTAATATTGTGTGCCTTTCTTTGGTCTCCTATTGGAAATTTGGAAGTTAACGAACTTTGAATGCTTGTAAAGGGAATTTCTGTTCAAAGATCAGATTTGGTGGGTCTGATTATTCGTCGTAATGAACTTGCAAATGACATCCTTGTGGCGTCAACAACCCAACAACTGCCTCCAATGTTACGGGTATGCTCTGATGTCCAGTGATGACAATTCTTCTAAGGAATAATTACTAGATAATGGTATGATTTGTTATTTTCATGCTAGAATCCAAACATATGCCGCAACTGTCGCCATCTGGATGTCTGCACGATTTATCATAAGGTATTTTCTGGTTTCTATGGTGAATGATACTTGAAGTCTTAACATTTTACATTTAGGTGTTACCCTAATTTATAAGGTTCTACATATTTAGTATGTACAGGGTTGAAATTTGAATTTGCATGAAGCGAGTTGCATGTTACTGTCTGACTTGATGTATGTATTCCATCTTGCTTCCATCTTGCTATAAACGTAATCAAGCGTTGGTTTATATCACATTCTTTATACTAGTGACCTGAATTGAATTTTCATTTTGTTATCTGCTGCTGCATATTAAGCTTTTCGTTGGTCAGAGTTATTGTGCATGTAAATCCTGAGAGCAAACTACATGTTTTGAGCTGTTTTGGGGAGGGGTTGAACGTCCATCTTCATGGTGTTGAACCTCACCATATCTTAAATATTTTGTCTGCTTGCCCCAGGCAGATGGTGGAAACACAGAGAGTAGTGGACTTGGTGATGTCTTTGATACACATGTTTCTCATCTTTCAACTTTGCATTTTAAGTTCCTCCGACACTGGGACAGGCTGATTGACTTGGAAGCTAGAGAGATGGAGGTCAGACTTGAATACCAGCTATTTTTAGTGGAGTACAAAGTCAGCAGTCTTTTCTTATTTGGCGATCTTATATCTATGTTTGTTTTCAGCTTCTACGGAAAGACATTGCACGCCCACATGGTTCAAAGGGCAATCACTCAGCTAGTTATCTTTCTTCTATGGTTCTTGACATGACAGATGGGTTTCAGCATGATAACTCTCATAAAGAAACTAGATTCATCTATCGTTTTGTACGTCAAAACTCATCTGAATCTAGAGAAAGGGTACCCAGTGATGATACAATTAGGACTGGAACCCCTGCAACTGATGACCTGGATTGCAAACTTAGAACAGGAGACCGCGTGGTATATTTAATTTCTTGGCTTTCCTATTATCATGGATAATTTGAGCCAATAAAGTTAGCTGCACCCTGAGAGTACTCTTCCGAATTTTCTTGCTTACCAGCATGTCTTTCTGAAAGTCTTAGTTGCGAAAACTTGTGATCACTTTCTGAAATTGACAAATTATTGCACTTGAGACTATCAATTTAAGTTACCGGCGTAATTTCCAAATTTCACTCTTAGTTTATGCTGTTTCCCCTTTTGTTGGTTAATTTTCTTCTCCAGATTCTTCGTACAGAAGTCAGCCACCTGACTGTTGCAAATGGGACTATAGCAGATATTAGTCGCGCTCATGTAACAGTAAGCGCATTCCTCCTATGTTTTCATTTGACAGTCTGTAGATCGAGCCTAGTTTGTCTGGTACAATTTGTTCTGATGTTCTTACTCCGACATGTCTAAAGAGTTCTAGATTTTCTTTTGCTATGTCATTACTTAGGTTTCTTTATCCAAGCGATTACGTCTTCCTTGGAGCGAACCTTCTGCTGAGGTATCTAATCTCTCTCATGAAATATGGAGAATTTACAAGGATGAATACATGACATCATTTTCGGTTATGAGGTGATTTTGTAATATATTTTTTTATTCACTTATTGATCCTACCTATATAGGCTGTCACTGATCTGCATATCCTTCAAGGTTTAATCTCATGCAGCTTTTCATACAAAATGGACATAGCACTTGCATCAGGAAAATGATTGTTGATCTTGAGGTTATTTGTCTGTTTCCTCTTTTTCAGTTTCCTCCTTGACACGGTGATGCTAGTTGTTTCCTTTACTCTTCTTTACATGCTTCGTTTTGTCTTCTTTCTTCATGTCTCTGTAGCCTCCTAGATTTGACAATGGATCTATACTGAGCCAGGATCCCGCGATATCATATATTTGGTCAGAAAAGAGCTTAAATAATGATCAGCGTCAAGCTATACTTAAGGTCATTGCATGATTACTATTCATTGATCTCTTGTTTAACGTGCTATACTTAAGGCATGTCTGAACGACACTCTTTGTTCTTTGACAAAGCTCATAAAGGACTTGCTTTGTTGTTTTATTTTCAGATACTTACTGCAAAGGACTATGCTTTGATCCTAGGAATGCCTGGAACAGGAAAAACCTCCACAATGGTCCATGCTGTGAAAGCTTTGTTGATGAGAGGCTCATCTATTCTGCTTGCATCATACACAAACTCTGCTGTTGATAATCTACTTATCAAATTAAAAGCACAGGTTCGTTTCTGTAGCCAACCTTTTTATATTTCTGGATTATGCATTTTTCATTCATCTCTAAAAAGTTTGTAGTTGTGCTAAACATTGTGTAGTTTGCTTGTACATTTAGAAGGTATACCCCGTTCGAGTTTGTTTGCATTACTCTCTATTAGTAGGTAGGAATCAAAGCTAGGTACATTTAAACAAAAGGACAATATAGTATGCCCACCCTGCAAAATGAATTTTAAGTATTAGTGAACAAGATTGGGAAAGTCAACAAAAGAAGTGGTGCTAGGGTGCACGTTGAAATAGGGTAGTCCGCATTCTTTTTCTTTTGGCGTCGCCTATCTCTAAATCTTCTGTTATATCATTTTCTCAACAGTTCTGTTTTTTCTTTTCTTTTGACAACATTCAGTAGATCTGTTTGAAAGACCACATTTCTTTTCTTTTTCCTTTATGCATGATACATAAAAACCCGTGTGGTCAAAAGGTATTACATATAAAGGATGGGAAAATCAATAAATGAGCTGCATGACTTTTTGTCTTAACGAAGAGTGAAAAAGCCTTTGTCTTTTTCAAGTGCCTGCTTTTAGGCATGTAGGAGCACTGTAATACATATGACATACTATTTTGAATATACTTGCAGGGAATTGAGTTTCTACGTATTGGAAGAGACGAGGCCGTACATGAAGAAATTCGAGAAAGTTGCTTTTCAGGTTTGCATTATATTAACTTCGGATATGTGTAGTTGAGTCTTCTCCATGCAGCTGAGACTTATCTTTGTGGCAGCTATGGATATGTGCAGTGTTGAGGACATCAAAACAAAGTTGAACCAGGTCAAAGTTGTGGCCTCTACTTGTTTGGGAATCAATAGTCCCTTGCTTGTGAATAGGCGATTTGACGTGTGCATTATTGATGAAGCTGGCCAGATCGCGCTCCCTGTATGATCTTTCATTCCTTGCCAGTAGGTTGAATAGAAATGCAACTCTTGCGAAGACAACTTGGATATTTTGATATGTTTTAGAGGACTTAGATTGCATATTTTGATTTGGCCTTATAAATAGTTTTCAGCCAGTAGCCCTTATTTGACAAAAACCGTTTATGTATAAGTACTGAAAGAAAGAGTTGACACAGTTATCGAGTTTGAAGTGGAATAATATTTAAGAAATGCACGGTTTCTTGTACTGATTAGGTTTCGATAGGACCCTTGCTGTTTGCCTCTACATTTGTACTTGTTGGTGACCACTATCAACTACCGCCACTAGTGCAGGTAAGCATTTACTACCTCTTTTGCGATACCTCTTTTTCCAGTAACTTTGAGCATCATTGTTGTGTTGCTGAAATCAGAATACAGAGGCTAGAGAAAATGGGATGGGAATAAGCTTGTTTCGCAGGTTATCAGAAGCTCATCCTCAGGCAATTTCAGTGTTACAAAACCAGGTTGCCCTTATCTACTAGGATGGAATTATGTTAGTATGCGTTGTTATTGGGTATATCTTCCTGCTTTATTAAGACATCCTTTATGTGCAGTACCGAATGTGTCGAGGTATTATGGAACTATCAAATGCGTTGATATATGGAGACAGATTATGCTGCGGTTCCGCTGAAGTAGCCAATGCCACACTTGCGCTTTCTACTTCCACTTCTAATTCGTTATGGCTTAAAAAGGTCAGTGTGTTGTTCTTAAACATTTTAAAAATTAGAGGCATCTTGAAGCAACTCACAGCATCTTATCACATCTATCTATGCCTAGGTCTGTGTATATATTTTGTCGTTCATTCAAGTTAAAACTCTGGATAATTGGCTGCAATGGCATTTGGTTATGCAATTAGCGTTGGCCTGAACAATCTGTGAAAATTTTATTGCCAACAGTTGCTTGCTTTACGATATATGCTGTGTGCACATTGACTCATCTTTAACCGTTTTTATGTCTCCATTAGGTTCTGGAGCCAACCAGAACAGTTGTATTTATTAATACAGGTTTTTCGCTACTTACTAGTTGCTTTTTCTTCACATGAGCTCTTTGTCATATTGGCTGGATTTTTCACGAGACTATATGATATGGTATTCTAGATATGCTGCGTGCTTTCGAAGCTAGGGATCAGAATGCGATCAACAATCCAGTTGAAGCTTCCATAATAGCTGAGGTACTATTGAGTATGAGATGCAATCAAAGTTTGAAGTAAAAGAAAACGTAGGCTTATTATATGTAATGCTTTACTTAGATTGTAGAAGAGCTAGTTAACAATGGAGTGGATAGTAAAGAAATTGGAATCATTACTCCTTATAACTCACAAGCGAGCCTCATTCAACACGCAATTCCAATGACGTCTGTGGAAATACATACTATTGACAAGTATCAGGTTTGGCTCTAGGACCTATTCTTTTCTATGCATTTTACGTCTGGTTCTTCAGTAACCAACCATGAGCTAACATGGTTTAGGGAAGAGATAAAGACTGCATATTGGTATCCTTTGTGAGGTCACGGGAGAAACCAAGGAGCTCTGCCTCTTCACTGCTCGGAGACTGGCATAGAATCAACGTTGCTTTGACACGAGCAAAGGTGAGAGAGCATATGATGATGGTGTTGAGTAATCTTTATTCCATTATTGATCGAAAATGTTTTGGTTTGCACAGAAAAAGTTGATAATGGTGGGATCGCAAAGAACACTCTCAAGAGTTCCACTTCTAATGCTTCTGCTGAACAAGGTTAATGAGCAGTCAGGTATCTTGACTCTTTCTCCGGGGGATCTAAAACCATAACAAGTCATCAAGAAACGCTTCCAACATCAATTTTTTTTTTTTGTATTTTCACCATCTCCAATGGAGTATCTCCGTTTTTGTCCAAAAGTAGTGAGAATGTATAATTGATGTATTTTTTGTTAATAAGAAAGAAAGTTTTAACTTTTAGGATATGTATTATGTAGGCAAGAGACCATGGACCCACGTGCATACAAAAGATAAGATATTACAGAAGTTTCATTCGAAGGGTTGAACAACTAAGGGAAGGGAAATTACACCAAGTCAATTAGAAAACTAATCTGTGGTATCTAAATATCAGGTCAATAATGTTCATCTTTTTGTTTTCTCACTCACTGAGTGACAAATTGATCTTTGGGTTGGACCTAAGGATGCAAAAACCACTATCTTTTATCAACTTTCGCATTGAAGCATTCACATATCCGCATGTATTTGAGATACTCTATCCAGTGCTCATGTAAATATTCAAAAACTTATTATTGATAACCAACTCTTTCAATGTTATTCATGAAATGGTAAAAGTGCTTAGTTTTCTCAGTTTTTTGTCTGAACTAAAAACGTGCCCCTAAGCTCAGGGTTTGTAGCAACACACACCAAACACATACAGATGAATTCGGGAGTACACAAACTAAGCCAGGTCTAGAAGTTGGACCTCTTTATTACAACAATCTCTTCTTCGAAAAAGTAACAGCTTAGCCCTGAAGACCAATGATACCTGCAAAATGGTAGACCAAAGGTCAGTCAGTTCATCCTTTCTGAGTCTACTAGATCGATATGAGAAGTCATCAGGAATGAATTTTAGTATCAGAAGTGTGGTTCTATGGACTGAAGTCCCAGGAGCCTATAGTTAATCTCTAGTCACTTCCCAAATATATAAAACTATGGTACAATTCCCAGACAGACATGATCGATTTTCAGCAGAACCCAAAATGCAAGATGATTATATATAAAACCAAGATGAGCGTTGAGTTGGCAGAGAATCAATGGAGTTCAAGATGACGGTGATAGTAATGATCCAACTTCTGACCGAGTTATACAAATGATTTTCCACAGAGAATGTGAGAAAAATGTGACTTCGTTCTACTTACCGCAAGCAATACGGCCGCCTGCGTTTCCGGTAGACAAGCTGAGTTCATGGCCTCCTGAAAATGTAAAAAAAACCATTGAGAGTCCAGGTTAGAGAGTGTTCTTAGCATGGATGTTGACTGTTGAGTCGATGTCCTCATACGAACAATGTAACTTTAAATTGTGTAAACAAAGCTAGCAAGATTAAAGAACTTCAGAACAATAAATCTCACCCTTTCCGAGGTCATCAGGGTCAGCGTGGACAACAACAGCCCTTCCAACAATAGAGTTTGGTCCAGTAAGAGGAATCTGTAAAAGGGAACACGAAATATTGGTTCACTGTAGCAAGATTCCGGAAAAGGAACAAAAGCATAATATAGATAGAAAGCTATGATGAACCTGGCAATCAGTGATAGTGAAGGTGGCAGTTCCTGAGAAAGCCAAAGAGAAAGACTTTGTGTCAAGCCATGGACACAACAAGTGGCCAAAGATGAAAATTTACTATATAACTTAAGTCTGCATAATGCACATATGAGAGAGGATATCCAACAAATGTGATGAAGAATGATTAGGATGCAAAACTGCTCTAAAGAATAAGCTTGAGATTAGGGATAAAAATGTACCATCATCTCCAACAACGATGTTTCCTAGATCGCCAGCATGTCGGTTAGCATCCTCTGGGGCACCGTGTTGTTTACCATCAGGGTTGAAATGTGGACCTAGAATTAGAAATTGATGAAATGATTAATAAAAAATTCAATTACTTTAACTATAACTAGACTCCCCTATATGAATACATAATTACAAGCTCCTCGAACAAACACAAAAAAGGTGTCAAAACCATCAGTTTCATATCCATAAAAATTTCCAGAAAGGTGTTGAGAGAGTAGTACCAGTGGACATGCAACCGTTAGTGGTGTCACCAAGAGCATGAACATGGAAACCATGAAGACCAGGCTTAAGGCCAGAAACTGTTCCGGTGACAGTGGTCACACCTGCAAAAACCAACACAAAAGTTAAATCATTTGAGAAAAAGTAAACACACACGCAAGAAAAAGAAAAAAACATGGCTTGAAATTATTGTGAAGAGCTCTAAAGAATGAACCTTGTCCTTCCTGTGTGAAGAAGATAGTGCCTTGAACACCCTCACTGCTGTTCAAAACTGCAACTCCCTTAGCCATAGTGTGTTTCTCCTTTGTGATCTGTGTAAAATCAATAGAAACCATTTTATTCATGTCTAGCATATACATACACACACATGTAAAGACCCATAAACAAAGAAAAGGATCTTAAACCCATTAAAGATTCATCAAAATCAAATCATCAGGATGGTCTACTTCAACATCTAAGCCATACAAGAAAATAATCAATAGATCCACCTATCATAAATTGAAATAACCATTTCCTCAAAGATCTATGCGTAGATTCAGATTTGGAAAGGATCGAAATCAGGTAAACATGTCAATAATCGATCTAAGAATAGATTTC